AAAAATGACACCTTCAGATACAGACTCTGGTGTCACCAAGCACCTTTTCTGGGGAAAAAAAACAATAAGGAAAATGAATCCAGGAAAGAAGGTATCGAATGAAATTTTAAAAGGAAGAGAAAGTAACCCAATTAAACAGTTAAGTCTAAGCTGTTGAAAATGTAGCTATGAAGCTCAAGGCAGCTGGTGCATAATTCTCATAAAACATAATACAGAGGGTTTTTTTAAAGCTACAAATAAAATTCCATATCACATTAACCAAGAACAGATTATAGAAGAAGGGTAAGTAAAGTGTAAGTGCATTTAAAGGCCAAATATTTATACATGGTGTGTGGGAGGAGAGGAAGGGGAGGGCATTCCTTGAGGGGAATTAGTGATACTAATTTATTCTTGCCCAAGCATATTTGTTAAAAATGTATGTATAAGTAAGAAATGAAAAACAGGATTATAACTTCCTAATCAATAAGAGCAAAGGAAGGGGGTGGGCAAGTAGCAGGAGGAGAAGAAAAACAGGGAAATAAAGAGGGTAATAAAGTAACCCATCGATATGCAGGAGAAAAGCATTACGGAAAATCAAATCCAAAATAAGATGGTAGAAAGATGCTGAAGGTAAGCAATCATGGTAAATATAGACGGTATATAAAATCCCCGTTAAAAAACAGAATATAGCAAATTGGGGAATGAAGGTAGGCCAGGAGCCCAAACAAAAAGAAAACTTAAATAAAACACAAGGGATTACAATGATATATGATGTTGTCAGGTCAGCCTGTGCCTAGTGGTTAAGACAACTGAATCCCACATGGTTGACCATGGGTTCAAGTCCTAGACCCAGCAGCTTGAGAAACATGCAAGGTGTGTGTGCATGCATGCTCAAAATCCTGAAAGAAGGGAGACATGGAGAGACTGCAGCGTGACCTTGCCCCACACGAGGACATGCATTCTCACTTTCTCTCTGTCTCTTACTGGCAAGAATATGGGCCCTCTGGCAAAAAAAAAAAAAAAAAGTTATTGATGATGAGACCAGCGTGTGGCCTGGTGGCTGGAGCATTGCATTCC